AAAAAAAAAAAAAAAAAAAAAAAAAAAGAAGCACACTGATATCAACTTAATTATATATGTGACAAAGAGAAGGGAAAAAAACAACATATTCTGAGTATCTTTACGTGTTTCTGTTGCCATCGATCAAATCAGTCATCGGAACGTACAATAGGCATATGACAACTAAAAAAAGAAACTGTTTTAAATTACGAACAAGCAATAAAGTAATTCTACAAAAGAATGTTCGAATCATGCTGTACTGTTGACAGATTCTGCTAACAAGATGAGAAAAGGTTTAAGTGCTTCTGTAGCGTTTCATGCCGTCACTGTAGAGCCTCAAGTTTAGGCTGTGTTTGATTGCACGTTGCCGGATTGAACGGCCCAAATTTTTGCAGTTTAATTTATTAAATCTTCGTACTGCTCTTTTAAAAGGCTGAAAAATACTGCGGTTTATTCTTTTCATAAAACACAGTTTCTTTTGAACTTACAGTGGTTTATGATTAACAGAAAGTGGAAATTCTAGTACGAGAATTGGAAAATCGACTGAAAAAAGCTGAGGCACAGTGCTCAATTTTGATGTAATCTTGTAAAAAAGAAAATGCTGCTGATTGTTTAGGTGATTTGATATAATCGCAGACCTTATCAGCGTTGTTCCAAGGAAGTATTAAATTAGCAATCAGCTCATTATTTGTGGTCAAATTTGCCATAACCAAAAATCGATCTTCTTTTTTGCTATTGTCCACTGGGCATGGACATTTTTGATCTGTTGTTGATATTAATACTTCTGCTTGACGACCAAGAGACCTACAAATAATGCATTTTGAAAATTCATTGCCAATTCACATTCTGACTTTGTGTTTTCACATAAAAAACAAAAAGAAAACTGAAAACTTTGTCCTGAATTAAGACTAAAGGTAGGCTAGAGGTATGACAATTGCTTTGTGGTTAGCTAATATATTCATTAACATATGACTTATTTCATAATACAATGCTACACAGCTCAGCGACTTGTGTTTCTTTCAGTTGTTTTTTGAGAATGAATGTCCAAGTCGCGAACAATTATCGCTTGCAGAGTCATGCTGTTAATTATAATAAATTCATAAGTATCAGCAAATTTTAACCTTCTACGTACACCTGATCCTTGACCTCTCCTTTTCAGGGACCTGACTTTCCGTAAGCTGACGTGTGACTGGTTGACTGAACGAATTTTAGCCTTCATAACTGTAAACTGTTGTATTTTAGAGCGTATTGGAACAGTTGTGACATTTTAGTATAAATGATGATGATAACAAATGATCCAAGGAATAACATTAAAAATAATTTTAATAGTAGCTCAACTGCGATGCATGAAAGAAGATTGATTAGAAGAAAAAAATCTTGTGAGCGTTAACTACAGCGGCAAGAAGCGAAAAAAGACAAGATAAGGCAAAAAATAAAATAAAGTATAGCAAAAAAAAACCAAAGAGGATAAACAAAAGATTACCAAAAAACCTTGACGAGTGATCAGAGAACCGACGAAAAAAAAGACGGAAGAACTCTTTTTTTAAAAATACAGTAGGTTTAAGTCTTTAAAGAATGCTACACCACTTTCAAATTCGTTTGTTCATAGCATTTACCAGTTCTAGGGATCTAATAATTTGGGTGGAAGTCGCTCTTTTTTGACTTTCTAATCTAACGTCATGAAAATTTAAGTTTCAGACAGAGTTTTACTATAAAGAACCTGACCAGTGCGCCATATAGTTTAAGCATGGTATTAATAGATTTAAGTATTTATGTAATTCTGTGCATGCTGTCTTAAGTTTCATTTGTTCTTCTGGCTTCTAGCAGTTCTAAAATTACGGCATGTTGTCTTAAGTTTCATAGCTATTGCCAGCTGCTTACTGATTTTGCTCACGAATTATGTGTCTGTTATTATAAATTAAATTTTTTTTTAATTATCAATGACAACTATATATAGTTTCGGAAAAAAACGAGACATTCTTGGCAAATATAAAGTTTTTGACTTACTTAGCAAGTAATCAAATATAAATCAAATATGGGTTGTGTTATTCCTTCTTCTTTGAAGTGCATTGGCTCAAGATGGTTTATGGTCACTGTGCTTTTTTATTTACATAAAATGTTTAAAAGTTTTTCTTTTTCTTCAGATCTTATAGATAATACTGCAGTTAACCATAGCCTACTCAATTTGTAACAAATAGGATGCATGCTGATCCAAATTTTAAATATACCTGAACTGCAACATTTGTTTGTTTTACGGCTCCTGCTAGTAGTTCTGAAGATCTTTATTTTCACTCAGTTTTGCTTATGCAACAAAATTTTTTTGAGATTTGCCAACAACAAAGCCATCATGAAATCTTTGATTGAAATACAGAAATGACGAGTATGATATTTTGAAAACAAAAACATCTATTGATCAGTTCAGTGTCGTCAGTCTTAAATAAAAAAAACCATATTTAAGGTGTCATTTTCCAGTCAAGTATGTTTATCAAAAACTGAGCTTAGTTTCCTTAAACTCAGTTTCTTGCCCTCTTCTTTTGCGCCGCTTGATATCTAAGAATAATCTAAAAACTTTAACGACTGAAACTGTCAAAGGTAAGAGCAAGAAAAGAAGTGAAAAATATACAAAAACCTGTAACCGTGTTCACCCTCCTCCAAAATAATAGTGAAAAAGGCGAACGTGGTTTAATTCAAATAGTTGTTCTTTGTTGCGAACTTTTAAACTCAATTGGTTTGTTGATACACATAAAAGCAGAACATTATAGTCTTAGTGTTGCAGTCACTTCATAACTTTTAAGTGTGACTTTTACCCTCACAATTTTTCTCCTAACAGTCATCTAAAACCTTAAAGAACGAAAATGTACATGTGCAGCTTAATAAAGATTACATGTTATACCAACCGTGACATTGGTTGAAAACATCCAAAATTCTGATTTTCTCATAACGAAAAAAATAAAATAAATTAAGACTAGTCACATGCTTCCTGTAAGAAACACGTAAATTAGTGTAGAGGAAGTTCAAAATATTATGAAAAGTTACTCTTTTCTTGTCAAAAGAGGAAAACTCGAGCATAGTTTTTAAAAACCAATGAATTATACTGTATTTCATGTTTTTTACTTTTTTGATCCTTCTTCAGTATATTCAGAGTACAACTTTTAGCAGATCATAGCTAGTAAAGTAATCAGCAGTTTGTTTCAGTTTAAGTATTCTACTCTGCATTTGTAGACTTTTTTGGTCCTGAAAAATAGATCACTTTAAAGAAAGATGCTTCTGATGCGCTTTTAACTGTAATTTTTTTTCAATATCTCTGAAAAGTTAAATGTTTACAAAAAGCTACTATAAATAAAAAAGTCTTATTACAGCAAAACATAAGCATTAGATAAAAAATAATAGAAACTAACCAGTACTACTTTTAGTAATACTGTTTTTCAGAAATTTGTGAAGTTACAATATAAAGAAATATATAATTGAAGCTCTTAAGTAGTTGCGAAATTTCGCTTGTTTTTGTTCAGGCAAAATGATAAAAGTTATGTTCACAACAGTACTGATAAAAAATTGAGAAATGTGTTATGGTAAAAAATATTTGAGGGTACTGACTCTTCATAAAAGCATAAATGATGAGACTGATTAAGCCAGAAAGTTTAACATTACTTAGGTCAACAGTCGAATATCTCTCGTTAGTTGGGAAAGCTATGAGACAGGAGCGGTTACTATCAACCATCAAAATCAAAGTAACGGTTACATAAAAGAATATTAAAGTAAGTGTTTCTGTTTTCAGTGTTGTTGTGACGCCCAAAGGGTAATGGGGTAAAATTTGCACTGTTGAATTCTACAACTTTTTGTCAACAATACCATTTAACAGCTACTTAATATATTTAACATCTTTAACCAGAATTTGATAAGATGAAAAGTTGATAATTTTTCTTTTGTATGATACCTATCAGTTTGCCTTGTATTTCTACTCTCTTCACCAATCATCGTCCTGTTCAATATTCATAAATGGTTTAACAGTCAAAGTGCTTTTAAAAAAATGAAAAAAAAAAAGAAAAAACGAGGATGAAGAGGAAAAAAAAGAAACATTTGCTTTATTCCCCCTTTATTTTTCTCGGCACAATATTTAGTGGTTCAGTGATGTGGTGCTGGGGATTAAATGGCGGAATTACAAGAAGTCTGAGAGCGTATTGTTTTGCGATTGTGTGGATAAATGGATACCGGAGAAAGCGGCAGAATGAAATTTAATCCTCAATTGGAAATTGAGGAAGGTGAGTGTATTGAGTGGTTGTCAATTATGAACAGGCTGCAGAATCAGCAAAAACCATTACAGGTCCATCTTCCCATCCATTCATTTATTTATCTATCTAGCTATTCATTCTTCATCTATTCATTCATCCATCCATTCATCTATCCATCTATCTGGCTTTCTGTTCCCAGATAATCGTCAGTCAGACGTCATTCACAGTCAGTTAGTCGACTACTATTCGACCATATAGCGAAAACAAAAACACAAAATAAACTCGTTGCAGACGTTGTTAACGTATTGATTGACAATACAAATTACTATTATTAAATATTATAGCCATCTAATGTTGTACATTTCTTTACATCTATTCCTCAATAACGTAATAATAACAAAAACAAAACTTAGTGTAAAAAAAATTTAAAAAAATAAATGAGCAACTAGATGATAAAAAAAATAATAAAAAGTTGGAAAAAATTTACCAACCGTATTGAGAATGGCAATAATGATCGAGAATGTTTTCATATGTTCCAACTTGGCTACAAGCTGAACAAGTTCGAGCAATTCCTGAAAAAAGTTTTTTTTTTTTTTTTAAATTCACTACAATCCACCCGAAAAATTATTGTGTTATGTCAATCTACAAATGTTGATAAAAGAGATGCCGACTGACAACTAAAAATCCCAAACGCTTTTCAGCTTTCAAAAATGCTAGCTGTCGTCTCTTTTCACTCTCCATCATATCAGTTTCAGTGCTTTTTCACGCCAACAAAAAAGTAAAGCAAAAAAGCAAAAAGAAAAAAATTAGAACCTTCATCCAAACCTTCATTTTTTCTCTTTTTTTGTCTGCTCACAACAAGTAATTATCGCAACCTTTCAAATAATTCGTGTATCAACAAAACCCAATTTTGCTTCATCTAATCACCTCACTGGCACAATTCATTCAAATTTTACGATTATTAAATTACTAAACAAATTTTATGTTGTCAGCCTATGTGTGCTTGCTGTTTAGATAATGTTTTTGGATACTGTTGATTGCCCAGTCAAACTGCTTAACGGTCACCCAAAGTTTAATCAGTTTCATATTCAAAAGTAAGCTTAATAACCTTTTTGATTTCTTTGAATAACAATGCCACTAAACAAAATTTCAGAGTAAAATAAATTTAAAAAAAGAAAAAGAAAAAAAGAAACAGTAAGTAAAGAAAAAATTTGTTAAGAATTTGAATAGAATGAATCGAGAGTTTGCTTAGGTGAATTAATAAAAAGCTTTATGCTGCCCTGATTCTCAACCACATTTTTCTCCTTCTCCCCATTGTCATTATCATCATCATCATCATTTTTTCATCATCGACAACAACAACAGCAACAACAGTAACTTTAGGAACATCATCGTCATCGTCACCGTAATCATTATCATCATCATCAGTAGAAGTCGGCAAAATTCAAAAAGCCAAAAATTTTGCTGTCAAAAAAAAAAAAGCTAGCTTTTAAGAATGTTTTCTAATCAGAGAGAATTATAAAATGTCTTTGTTATGTTTGAAGAGTGGAAAAAAAAAATTCTTTTTGAAGTGTATGTTCAACTTCGGTTTGACAAAAAAGAAAAACAGCAAAAAATTCTGCAGCTGGACATTGTAAATTGGTTAGAAAAAAAAAAAAAAAAAGAACGAACGCGAAACCTCTCTTATCCGTACCCCAACCACCACCTCCCGTTCCCCTCCCGCCTCATTCTTCTCCTCTCCTTCCAAACCGTCGTTTTTTAGCTCTTCAAAAGTACCTGTAGAAAGAATTTTGCTAGAAAAATTTCTTGTTTTTTTTTTTTCAGCAATCTTCTATAAAACCGTCTAAAAGTTCGATTAATACCAATGTTCTTGAAAAAGAAATTTTTTTTTTTGTCTTGTAAACAAACAGTACACCGGCAATGAAACTTTTTTTTACCTTGTTTAGAAAACGGATTATTCAGTTTACTCTCAAAAATTGTCTCCACTTCTAGTCACATTTTTGATTTTAAAATTATAAACGTATGGGTGGAATTTAATATTTTTTAAAAACTGCAAATCAACAAAGACAACAAGAAAGACAAAATAAGAACAAAAAGTTATAAATGATGATTTCCATTCTCTTTTTTGATATGTTCCTTTATTTTCTAGACTAAAGTAGATTATAAATACTTTCTTTTTGATTTACTAAGTGACAGAACCTTTTGAAAAAAAAACAGCAAAATTTGTGTTTTAACAGTGTTCTCTAATATCAGATAGTCAACTATATTCAAATTTTGAATCAAGTTTTTTCGATACTTCTTCAAACTTTTTCTTCAACAACGTCAGAAGATACATAGAAAATAGAAACAAATTTAAATATATCATCAAAAAAAATTTTTTTTGTTTTTCTTTCTTCTCACACAACTGTCTTTAAGAAGTTTATTTAGTTTAGTTGTTATAAATGTATAAGTAAAAAAAATTTTTTTATATTTGTTTCTGTCAACGTACAGAAAATCTGTTATTAAGATTAGGAAAAATAATTTTAGAATAAAAATTCTAAAAAAAAAAATTAATACTGCTATTTTTAAAGAATCAGTTGTCCAACGAATTTTGAGTGGTATCAATACCGTAGCAGTTATTTGGAAACATTCAACGGTTCAATTTTCGACTAAATTGATTGTTACTGATGTAGAACTTTTTTCATACTTTTTCAGTGTTAACAAAAAATCACTCAGTTTTTCAACATAAAAAACTTCATACTTACTACAGAAAGAAAAAAAGAAGAAGAAGACACAAATTTTTTGAAACATAACGACATGAAACATAAGGAAGTATTTCAAAATATATCAGTTCAATGGATATTGATGTATACATAAATTCAACTATATATTTATACACGTTAAATGTTAACAAAAGAATAGATGTCATCTGAAGAAGGAACCAGTCCTTTTTTCCTTCTTTTTTTTTTTTTTTTAAAAGATAAATACTACTATTATTTTCATTCGGTTTAACCAAACCCTAGAAACCGTATGCTTAAACCTGTAAAAATCATTGACATACCTGGCTGTTTTTTACCGGCTACCACCTTAATGCACATATCGTTATCTTGGGGAAACTTTTTGCACGACAATATATCCGGCCATGGGAACCCATATTGCAGCATTCGAC